GCTTTGTATGCAAATCAACTTAAATAGTTAGTTGGTGTCCAGTGGAGGGAGAAGTCAACAGTACTGTTGCCTCTGAGAATCTACATCTTCAAACACTGCAATCTTTGAAGTGCGTTTTTAAACTAGTATTATAAAAACTCTATCATTCTGTTCTAATAGCTGAAACATTCCTGTGAGTTTTCATTTGTCGAATGAACTGTTTGTCAAATACAGAATACATATATTTTAGAGTAATTTTCTTTTTAAAATGTGAATGAAATGTTTTGCTTTTAATGTATTTTTTATGTATTGTTTTTGATTTGATAACTTTGAACTAAACAGATTTTCTATTAGCTTCAGATCTTGATCAAAGTTAGGCACCCAGTTCATACGAGTGCTTATATTGATTTTCTGACATCTTGTTTTCTGTAAAGATTTTATTGGTAGGTTTGCAAATCAGACTGTATCAGACTGTGCAATCTCTCCATGAGTTGGTTTTGAAACCCAGTATGGGATTCTGAGATACATTATCAAGGATATTATTACAAGATAAATCATTTGCTTCATTGAACACATACAACAATGCATATTTCCACTGAGATCAGTGACCTTTGATGTGTATCACCAGTGATCAGTCAAGTAGAAACAGTCAAAATATTTTATCAGATTTTCTCAATTTGTTCATGATATTTTCATACAGGACATCTGTTGTTCAAACTCAGGGAAGACTTTATACTGATGAATAAGGTGACCAAGTTTGATAAAGTTTGGAATAGAATTAGTAAAGTTATTATGCACACAATAACAATTATTAACGACGACGACGGCAACGACAATGACAACAACAACAACAATGCCGGACAAAATTTTTCCCTTAATATACCTTTCCCTTCTATCTTTGATGGTACGGGCAAAGTAATAAAAGTAGTTGTCTGAGATATTACATATTATATTACAGATTAGATAGATCTGTATTATCAGCATAGCTATACATGCATGTTGTATTATGAACTAACCGTTCCACAACACCTATTCTCTCTTATTTGTGTTGCAGACCAACTATACCTACCTCGTCCGCCATGGTAAAGGTGCCCCAGTGTATTGCAATTGACTTCCTTGCTTTTATGTCTTGGTGGATCTGGACAGCTTCAGTGGGGTTGACGTGGGTCCATTTCATGAACCATCTAAAGCATGTGAAAGTTAAAAACACCAATGTTATAATAAACCCTAAATGAAATACTATAATGTTCAGTATTTAAATATATCATCAACACCTACTCAGGCTGCTAATGGCTAATACAATTAAGTAATTATGTTAAATATTATACCACAACATCAAACGAGTCAAAAATCATAAACTTCAATTTGGTATATCTTACAAAAATGTATGTAAAATGACGTAATTGATGTAATTGCAGTATGGGAGAGGTATGATAAAACAACATACTGGGGTGCGTATGATCCTATTGGTAGTGCTGCCAGATCAAATGGGCCGTATCTCTTGCCAATCTGTTTAAACGCTTCGCAATATGCAGTGTCGCCGCCGAAGAAGAATTTATAACGAGGTCCGATGACCGTCCAACTGCCCCATAGAATTGTGTCTACGTCTGTAATGCCACGTTGGCAGCTATGCTGGGTGGGAGTGAATACGAAGGTCATTTCGGAATGTTCAGGTAGACAGCTCTCCTGCCACCAGTCAAGTTCAACCACGTTGTGACAGCCTACATTCTGCATCCACTGTAAAAGTCCCAATGGTACAAACCAGCGTAAACTTTGGCCAAATCGAGAGTTTAACTTTTTGACCGAGTTAAGATCTAAATGGTCGTAGTGTGAGTGGCTTATAACGACGGCATCGATCTGTGGCAACTCGTCAATTGTACACGGTGGGTCACGGAAGCGTTTGAGTCCCATGAATTGCGTTGGTCCGCAACGTTTACTAAATATAGGGTCGGTTAATATAGATATGCCGTCGAACTGCACAAGTACTGTAGCGTGTCCAATCCAGGTGACGCGAATACCAGACGGCGGTGGGCGTTTTATTTCATCAGCATCTGGTATCAATATTGGTAATGTTTGGTCCAATTCCTGTGTAGCAATGTAAAGCGGAATTTGAAATCATAAAAACACCTTTAAGGGTTGTAAAATAAAAACACCAATTTTACGTACAATGCCACTACCGGTATGTCATATGAATACTCACTCGTTTTGAAGGTATACCGCTATAATTCTTAGAGCAGAACATGTATTTGCATGTATCTGAAAGACCAGGGAGCTTGTTGAAGGTTGGCCAGGGATTCTGAAATCTGCCATTCTTCCTGACTGACTTCTGTACATCGTCTTGTTGCTCGTTTTGATCGTCCATTCCAGCATTGATAGATTCTAGCATTGGTGTGGGGTCAGACTGCTCCTGAATGATCTAGTGTTGTTAGAGGTATTGTCTATGTATCAGTTGTCCATCCCTGCAGAGAATCATTACCCCAAAGTCAATGACCATTATTATTATTAATTATAGTTCACTAGAATTAGCGACAGGGATAATACGTGTTGAACATTGAACTGTAATTCAGTTACTAAACATGCTACTATGAAAACCTATTCATCATCTGAAAGCTTGAATATAACCATGGTAACTAAAGAAGATCTAGGCGAATACGGTATTGCAAATTGGGGTATGCCGTACCAAAGTTTGTCCAAGGGTTTATCTGACACAAATATTTGCTATATTGTGCCTGTTCGACTATTACAACTATTGAAAACACAATTGTTAACGTTCAAGCACAAAACTGACCGTTAGGTAACCTCTTAGACAAACATTGGTACGTCATGTGCACTATCGTATTCGCATATATCTAAGCTGTCAGATGATGTATATAGTAGCATGCTTAGTAAATCTTATAGAATGTCGGAATAACAGTTCATTTTTAACCCATTTCCCCATGTTGATACCTTAAAATAATAGTGGATTTAATAGTTTTAACTGCAAAAATTGTCTTCTATATACACGCACATATATCGTAGTGTCGGAAACAAGATGGCGCTAACCACATATGTCAAAGTTACTGTTTATACTGCTCGTATAAAATATCCCGGAAAGCTGTAATTACATGAATTTTCCCGATTAGTGTAAACGGCTCTCATTACAAGTAATATACGTAACACAGAATATCGATACACGTTTTAAACGTCGCCAGTTAAACAGCTACAGCCTATACTTACAGATAAGGATTCGGATATCGTTGTTGCAAGAAATAGATTACCGTGACCTCTGCTGAACTTAACCGTGACCCCATTAAGCATAATTTATCTTCACTCATGCACCAGGCCCGATGTTGATCTGGGATTAAGATTTACAGTGACTGCTGCATAATGTTAGCGTTTGGGTGAATTTCTAAATAAGAAAACAGATTAAAAAGATCAAAATATTGTTTTAATTTGTTGAACCGCATGTAAAACACATGTTGGCCAGCTAAAACTCCTACGAAATGGATGTGAAAGAAAAACACAGATTTGTCAGTCGTTCTACCTTCAATATTCTCAGAAACGCAGCCAGTTTGGAAGTTGTGCAGATTCACAGGTCATCGGTACTTGTCTATAAACAAAGCTACACACAAAATCTAACAGATGACGTAATTGAAGTACGCCCTCATACATCGCGTTTCAGATAAAATGCGGTGAAAGAAACTCCAATAAGGAACTATAATCAACTGTACGCAGTCTCTATGAGCAAGTGGGGGGGGGGGGGGGTAACTACTGGTATCTAGTGTAAGAAATATACAGATCAATATAAATAGACAGATCCTTCTCAACACAATTAGACAGTTTTCTGAGGGCAACACTGATACAAGCTTTATCAACATACTAGGCACAGAGAATACTGTCAAGCTAAAATGTCTAGCAAAATACATATACGAATGTTTCAACCTAAGAGAAAGCAAATTTAAAAAACAGCTGCCTCACAGATATCTAAATAAGTAATCCTTACATTTACTTTATTAATTTGCATTTCTAACCCACTTTCGGGCAAGTTTGTTGTTGTTTTTGTTTTGTTTAGTTTAGTTTTTTCTACTAGTGTATCTTCTTTCTTTTTTATCTGAATGTTTCTAACATGGAATGACAACCATGCTTTATTGTACTTAGATCTATGTCCATTTTAAGGATACGACTTCAATAAAGACTATTATTATTAGAAGCATTATTAACGTTCTATGCACAATGAATACAGTCATGCTAAAATGTCTAGCAAAATACATGTATGAATGTTTCAACCTAAGAGAAAGCAAATTAAAAAAAACTGCCTCACAGATATTTGAATAACTAATCTTTACATTAACTTTATAAATATGCATTTCACTAAATAAATTGTCCAATCACAGAATGTGTACCCACAGTCACTCGGGGGCTTAAAATCAATAAATACTATTTTTTTTAAAAAGTCATCCGCTATACGCATATAAATTCATTTATATGCGTATAGCGGACTTTTTAAAAACAAATCAACTGTGTGCGTACCACAAGATCTTCAACACTTTCTGATCATTTGCAAAATCTAGTCGGCATGGAGCTTGTGATTGACTAGGAATAACAGATTAACAGGGCGACGCCTCCAACATTGTTTTCATAGTGAAGCTCGGCTGAGTCAGTTTTGTAGAAGCTACAAAGATGTATGGGGTTAAGCTCTTTCAATGAGAAAACATTAATGATCATCCCTGTAAAGTCCAGTATATACATTTGTAATCGTGTATATTATTTATGTAGTGGCCGACTTGTTCATGTAGTGAATAAACGGAGCTAAAGTTTGTGTTCCTACCATTGTATTAATTTCTCTCTCACGATCTCACAATCCCCTCACCACAGTCTGGAAACTCTCTTTAAAGTTCAACAACAAATGATTCAAGATCATCACTGGATAAATCACAATAAAACAAGCTTATTATAGAATGAACTCCCATGTGCTGAGAGTATTTGAGACACATTAAAAATTAAGCTTTAAGATATCAATGAAAGTTGGAAATTGGTTAATTATATTAATTGGATGATTAATAAGCATAAATATTTAACCAAAACTAATTGGGTCTCTGCATGGTCAATAGGTTCATTGAAATGTGATGATTAGTACTCTTGATATCAGTGGAAAGCTGAAAATTAACTAATTATGCAAATTAGGTGATTAATATGAACAAATATTAACCTCAAAACAATCGATCTCTGCAAAGTCCTTGAGGATCTATGTAATAAGTTTAATTGAAATATGATTACTACTCGAAAAATCAAAAGCTTAAAATTAATTAATTATGCAAATTAGGTAATTATTATGTACTGACATTACCCTAAAACTATCAGATCTGTGCAGTGTCCTATGACATCTATGTACCAAGTTTTATTGAAATGTGATGATTAGTACTTGAGATGTCAGTGGAAAAGCCAACAATTGACTAATCATTATGCAAATTAGGTAATTAATATGCACGGATTTTTACCCAAAACAGAGCATCTATTTGCCAAGTTTCATCAAAATCCAGTGAGTGGTTCTTTAGATATCAGTGGAACAGTCTTGGAACAGCAAAAAATTAGCTAATTATTATGCAAATTAGGTAATTAATATGCATGGATTTTTTACCAAAACCTAATCAAATCTGCGCATTGGCCCAGAGCATCTATGCACAAAATTTCATCAAAAACTGATGTATATATGGTTCTTGAGATACCAGTGGAACAGATGGACACACACACATACATGTGCTTTGAACAGTCAAAAATCCACTCAATCCATATTTCTGCATTCTATAGAATAGTGTAAACAGAAATACCCAACATTTACATCAAGGTGGTTTTCCCCAAGATATCCCTAGGAATGATAAACTCTTGATGTTTTGGTGGTGCCTGAGAATCTACATCACATAACAATATATCTACATCATATTACAAAGAATGAACATCACATGAAGATGTGTTTACATTGTACAATTTTGCCTAAATTTGCATTGTGTAAAGTTGTATTCACATCCAATAGTGATAACTGCACAACATATTACAGATGTATTCACATCATATAAAGACTAATGTGCATCATATAAAAACAAGTCATTGAGAATGACACAGTCACCGTTAATTTTTTAAAAGTTCTCTTTGTGCTCGTCATATTAAAGCGGAAGGGTTGTTGCGAGCATGTCCTTGAAACTTGAGTTCCAAGTGGCGTATACAACAGATTGTTTATTTACATCAAAACACGTGTTCCGTGTAGTAGTAATATGGCCAAAAATAAAAACAGTCGTTATTCGGCCATCTTTGATCTGGTTATGAAACACACTGATATGTATGATGTATGTGCCAAATACAAATGAAAATGGTACTTAAATTGTGGAAATATAGTAGTAAGGCCAAAAAGTCAGATGGCTGTCAATCGGCCATCCTTGACAAGATTTTGAAACAAATTGTCATGGACATGCATTCTAACATGTATAAAGTACATGTATGTGCCAAATTTGAATGAAAACTGACAGAGCACGTCCAAGATACCGCATAAAAAAATCAAAGAAAGCTTAGAAAGAACTCCTGTGTGCTGAGAGTATTGAAGACACATTAAAAATTAATTCAAAATTACATGTACAAGAGATATTGATGGAAAAGCTGAAAACTAATTATGTAAATCAGGTAACTAATATGAACAGAACAGAACAGAACAAAAAAATTATGAATTATTATGCTAACTAGAGAATTAATATGAACAAATTTTAACCCAAAATTAATCAGGCCTGTCTATTGTACTAGAGCATTTATGTACCAAATTTTATTCAAATGTGATGATCAGTAACTGAGATATCAGTGTTAATTAGGCGATTAATAAGCATAAATATTTACCAAAAACTAATTGGGTCTCTGCATAGTTCTCTTTAAAAGTTTCATTAAAATCTTAAGTACCAAGTGTCATTGAAATGTGATGATTACTACTTAAAATATAAAAAGCTGAAATTAAATTAATTATGCAAATTAGGTAATTAATATCAACTGATATTACCCTAAAAACTACCAGGTCTGTGCAGTGTCCTATGATATCTATGTACCAAGCTTTATTGAAATGTGATGATTAGTACTTGAAATTTCAGTGGAAAAGCAGAAAATTGATTAATCATTATACAAATTAGGTAATTAATATTGCACAGATTTTTACCCAAAACTAATCAAATCTGTGCATTAGTTTGGAGCATCTATGTGCCAAGTTTCATCAAAATCCAATGAGTGGTTCTTTAGATATCAGTGGAACAGTCATGGAACAGCTAAAAATCAGCTAATTATCATGCAAATTAGGTAATTAATATCTATGCACCAAGTTTCATCAAAAATCAATGTATGGTTCTTGAGATATCAGTGGAACAGACACACACACACACAGACACACAGACAGACACACTAACTGCAAAAACTCCCTTTTTGTGCTTCGCACATGCGAGTCAAAAACAAGTTGCCTGCCAGTCGACCATCTTTGATCCAATTGCGAAATAAATCATCATGGACATGTATCCTAACATGTATAATCTATGTACCAAGTTTGAATGACAACTGACAAAGCATGTCCAAAATACAACATTTTCAAAAAACAAGATGGCTGCCAGTCGGCCATTTTGAATCGAATCGCTAAACCACTGCATGTGCATATGTCCCACATAAGGTACTAGGCACATGCAAAAAATGAACGAAATCGGTCCACAGGATTCAGAAATATGACTCTGGACAGACTGACGCACGGACGAACGAACACACGGATGGACAGACTCAGGAACTCACGGACGGTCGGGACATGTATCCTAACATGTATGATCTATGTACCAAGTTTGAATGAAAACTGACAAAGCATGTCCAAAATACAACATTTTCAAAAAACAAGATGGCTGCCAGTCGGCCATTTTGAATCAAATCGCGAAACCATGCATGTGCGTATGTCCCACATAAAGTACTAGACACATGCAAAGAATGAATGGAATCGGTCCATGGGATTCTGAGATACGACTCCGGACAGACGCACAGACACACGAACGGAGACCGAATTATAAGTCCCCGTTTTCGGACTTCGTCCGAACGGGGACTAATAAATGCATGTGTAACGGTGTGTTCACATCAGAGGCATTTTATATTGTATAAAGGTGCATTCACATCAAATAAATGTGAAGGAAATTTTGCATGATACAATAGTATACTCTCAGCATATAAAAGGAACAGTATATTGTCAGCTATACACTAAAGACAGCCATGGCTTTTCATATGGGTTGCAGCAACAAAACTGAGGATTATTCCAGAGCATATGTGGTTCTTGAGATATCAGTAGAATTGAGACACATATACACACACACAAAGTAGATAACTGAAAATCTTCCATTGTGTGATTCGCACTGAGGAGTCAAATACTCACTAAATGACTTCCCACACTGAATCAAATGAAAAAAGATACTTTCTCACATCTACAACTATTTTGTAACTTGCCTAAATAAACAGTTTAGTATGTTGAGAATGACAAAATAAATAAAAACTATTGTACAATTCTGAATGTGTTGCTTGCATATGCAATAAAAGACGCTATTGTTGTATGTAAATGTTGTATTTAAGTAGCATTTATTAAAGTTGACATTGCTTTACCATTTACAATCAATTTTAGTACATTATTGAATATACTTTGTTACTCCATCATTGCATCAAATGCTCAAAAGCACTTGTGCCTGCTTCGTCAAGTGTTTTTCTACTTTGTTTCTTTTGTATGCTATACAATTATTCTTCAGCATATTGTACACAGTCTTGAAAGTTTTCAAACTTTGTTTTTCTGATCACATCTATCTGAATGGACAAAGACGACACTTTTGACTCAGCAGGGTCCCCAGAGCATTATAGAGTTCCCAACTGTTTAATTTTGGATAAACAATACCAGTAGTACAAATTTAGCATAACAATCAATACAATAAACGTGATTAACACATTCTATAGCAAATACTCTAAGCTATTTTTTATGGGAGAACACTACCCAATTATCTTTCAGATACATTTTGTATATCACGCTTACCATATTTGATCTATTATCTATCTATTTATCTTTAATACAAGCGTAAATAAACCAATAATTTTAGTTAGTGTACATTAACATCTTGCTTATTTTGACCCCAAAATAATATGGTGCATTGATTACTTAATACTTATGATACTATATAGGACACAATACAAATCTACCTATTCGTTTGATTTAACACCCATTCTGGACTAAGCACCCAAACCCCACTTTCGGGGAATTTTTGATTTTGGGGTCACATTCGACTAAACTCTTACCCCTTCTAAATCGTCCCAAATTAAGCCATCAAGCTATGAATCTTGGTCGTTGAACAATGTTTTACTTTTCCGAATAATTATAGTGTTCATTCTGAAATACGTTTTTCTCACTGAAGAATTTAAAAAAAACAAAAAAAACAATTTGTCAGCTGCTAAATTACAGAACATAAAAATTCCTGAAAAGTTTCAAAATTTGGCACTTATGTAATCGATAATAAACATTATAAAAAGTATCAATTTTTAATTAACTACATATATCATATCAGGGCTGCTGAAATTTCTGCTAAAGTCAACATTACATGATTTTTGATTACATATGTGATTCTCAGGATATTTTATACATTTTGTCTGCAGTTTGGGAGGCAGCCATTTTGGCTCATAGGTGATTAAAGGCAGCTATATTAAATACAATCATGATATGATAGCTTTTGGGATAAAAATGTTTGAATACATAACTTAAGAAATATGTGTGAATATTATGAATAAATTCATTTTTGCATATTAGTATATTGCCATGGCAACTAAATAAATGACAATTCTGATACATCAATGAAACGTTTCTCAATTCGCACAAAATCAACTGTGAAGTCATAATATGGCTGCCTTTACCAAAACTAATTCAAAATGGCTTCCATCCATATATACACATGTAACTTGCCTAAATAAACAGCTTATTATCTTGAGAACCAGAAATGACATCAACAAGCTGTAAGAAGTATATTTTTATCTCTTTGCACTGTTATATTAAGAATTACAAATTCAGTCAAATTGACTTCTACTTTGAAGCATTTTGTCAGCTGCTAAAATACAGAACGTGTGCAAAAAATTTAAAAATTTGGCACTTATGCAATTTACTAATAATCAGGGATGAGAATGAGAATTTAAATTACCCCTTCATCACGGTCAAAGTTGCTTCCTTGTCAAGCAATGCCCAATGAAATTTGTTCCTAATGTCTTTATCGATCTCTTGCACGGCTGACTCATTGTCTTTTGTAACCAATTTCACAATTATCGCAGCATGAAACTTGTAAACAACGATCCAGCACCACTAACAATTGAAACAATGAAATGGCGCCATTGGTGTATGGGCTTCGACCATACACTGATACAGACCCCTTAACAAATTTTCCTTGAATTTAGACGTTTTAGAAAATTCTCATCCCTGAATAATGTAATCACCAGTAAATTATGATTTTTTACTCAAAAAGCTGATATCACAAATGTATAATTTTGATGTAAAGCTCTTTTCTCTTTGTTACGCTACGATCTGAAAACTATTAAAACAAGTCATTGTCAATGACACGTCCCCGTTCTGTTCATATTTGAGTGATATATACATTCAAAGCAGATCATGACCGAAATGCACCTGCAT